TATATATATATATATATATATATATATAATTGTTGTACCCTAGGCTGTAACATTAGGGGAGTTTCTTCAGGTGCAAGTAGACCCCATTCTTGGGTTTGAGGACAATCTGGGGCAAGAAGACAAGAGGTCTGGTGGGATCTGGAGACACCTTGAAGCGGAGCAGGATCAAGGCAATGGCCACCTTTAACTCAATCATGGCAAACTGCTGCCCGATACAGTTCCTGCAGACACAGAGGGAAAGAGATACTTGAAGAAATGGTAGTTTTTTCTGACTCTTGCATAAGATGCTAGCATAATGAATCTGATAGTCACAGTAAAGCTGCATTTACACACCATATGCCACAGAAACTTTTGAATATCTATTGTTCCCTGTAAGAATGTGAAACGGGAGGCTGCAATGTGATGCCTGCCCTAAACAAGGTGGCACTTGGAATTGCTTATAGAATTGTTTCTCCTGTGAGGATATAAATGTCAAACTGGGTGACTATAGTGGGTAACAGAGTATTGTGTCATTGACATTTGCTAATAAAGCAGAATTTAAATGTCCTCACGTGCGCGTGCGCGTGCACACACACACACACACACACACAAAGAGATAAATTTGTGAGATGGAGGATGTGGTAATAACTAGATGGGGAAGAGTCCTTTCATGATCTGTACAGATATCAAATCACCATGATACACATTTTAAATATCTTACAATTTCACATGTCAGCTATACCTCAATAAATTTGAAATTAAGAAAAAAGAAGAATTGTTTCTCCTGTGTCAGGGGTGGGCTGCATGGCTGATGAGCAAGTTTGCATTGTGGGAGAGCTTTCTGAGGCATGGCTGTATAAGATGTGATAGAGAAGGGCTTTGTCTTTTGTGAAACTAACTGGTCTTTTCAGGGGCTCAAATAGGTACCAATATCTACCTCATAATCTGGTGAGAAGATGGGGTTCCATGGAAGAATATATACACCTGAGATACCAAAGGAAGAATGCTGTTTCCAAATAAAACACTTCTGTCCATTTTCAACAACTTCAAATTGTCCTCACCTTGGTCCGGCTGAGAATGGTAAGAAGGAGTGGGGGTGTCTCTGATCAGAATTTTCCTGAGAGAATCGTGAGGGGTCAAAGACCTGAAATGACAAGGCAACCTCACCACCATCCCCAAAACACCATTAGCACATTTTTTAAGCTACTGCTTAGCACTGATCAACAGAAATCTATAATGAGCTACATATGTAATTTCTTTTCTTCTTCTTTTTTTAAGCAGTCTTCACACCCAGCATGGAGCCCAATGCAGGGCTCGAACTCATGACCCTGAGATCAAGACCTGAGCCAAGATCAAGAGTCAGACGCTTAACTGACTGAGCCACCTAGGCACCCCCACATATGTAATTTCAAACATTCTGGTAGTCACTTTTTTAAAAGGTGAAAGTAATTTTAACAATAGAATTTATTTTGCAGAAAATATTATCATTCCAACATGTACTCAATATAAATAATTATTAAGGAAATATTTCACATTTTTGTACTATGTCTTCAAAATCCAGTGATACACACTGGGTACACATTTCCAGCACATCTCATTTCCCATTAGCTACATTTCAAATGCCCAGTAACCACATGTGACTAGTAGCTACCACACTGGACAGTGCAACTCAAGAGGTGCAGCCCTTGTCTGGCCTCTTCATTGACAAATCTGCTACCCAGACACATAAGGAGAAAGCAGAAACACTAGGGTGTAATATTATTTTCATTCTGGAAGTAAGAATGTCCCAACCTAATTTACCCAAAGAAAATGAAAACACTAATTTGAAAAGATATATGCACCTGCTATGTGCAATATGGCAGCATTATTTACAATAGTTAAGATATGGAAGCAGCCTAAGTGTCCATCCACAAATGAATGTATAAAGAGGATGTGGTGGATGGGATGGAATATTACATGGCCATAAAAAGGATGAGATCATGCCATCTGAGACAACATGGATGTACCTAGAGGGCAGTACGCTAAGTAAAATAAGTCAGACTGAGAAAGATAAATACTATATTATTCCATTCGTGGGTGGAATCTAAAAAAAAAAACAACGAAAAACAAGTGCATAAACAAACAAAAAGCAGAATTAGACCAAAAATACAGAGAACAAACTGATGGTTGTGGGGGAAGTTTGGACAAAATGGGTGAAGAGGAGAGGGGAGATACAGGCTTCCAGTTACAAAATGAGTAAGTCACAGGAATAAAAGACATAGCATAAGGAACATGTTCAATAATACTGTAATAGCGATGTAATGGGACAGATGGTAGCTACACTTGTGGGGAACACAGCATAATGTATAAACTTGTCAAGTCACTAAGTTGTGCACCTGAAACTAATGTAACATTGTATGTCAACTACACTCAAATAAAATTGATTGGAACATAAAAAAAAAGAATGCGCCCACTTAGAAGTCAAGCCAAAGTGCTTATGTGATCAATGATTACTGAGACATGTAGTCCACCTCCCATTACACATAAGAGATCTTAAATCCTAGCCACTTATGTGAAAGTATCTGTAGGTGTTGTGAGTGTTGAGAGTTTAAGAATGTTGAATCAAGCGCTCAGGTAAGCTATATGTCTTCTTTTTGCCTCTGCGTGCAGTCTCTCCTCCCTTTCCTGCCCTGCTCTGGGCTCCAAGAAGCTGACCCACATGGTTTCTTTTGAGGTTGGCTGATAAAAGACATTGATTGGCGATCTGGAGGGTGGGCAGAGAGAGCTTTTGGGTTATTTATTCCCTGGGCCCCACCCTACCAGGCTGCCTCTGGCTGGCTGCACACTCCACTGAAGGTCCAACTCCTGCCCAGGACACTTCCCAGCACAGTAATCTCTCTCCAGGCTTTGTAACCCTCTTTCCTGCCTGGCCCAGACGTGGTAAGCACTTCAGCAGTTATTTGCTCCATTCTGTTTTTCTAAAGCCTACCCATACTTTTGTAAATAGTTGCTTTATAAAACTCTCCTCCAAGTGCCCAAGTTGAGTGTGCCATTGGGTTTCTGCCAGAATCCTGATTGTTACATCCAGGCAAAAAGAGTCTGAGTTGCCTGCATGACTGCATGAGTAGTCTATACTCCTGCAGGCATCTAGGTGAGTTCTTGATAGAGCTTGCTAAGTAAACAGCTGTGGTATAGACTGTGGGCAATTTCAAACAGATTGTGTGGCATTATATCCATATGTTCATGCAAAGCGAACATAAAGTAGGAATAGGGGAAGGGGACAGATAGCTTTCCTTTGGGGGAAAGGTTGAACATTTTCGGTCTTTAAGTTTAGTTTGTTTGCCTTGAGTCATTTGCCACTTCCATGCATAGCTAACAAAAAGTGAGCTACACAGCATTAGTTCTTTGAATGATTTATGTGCAAGACAGCCGTACCTTTGGGTTTTCCCAGATGGCAGGGTTATGATGAAGGCCCCAAATACTGAGAACCACGGTTATTCCTGTGAAAAGAAAGAAATAAAAAAGATTGCAGAAGATACAGCAAGTTGTGGGCTACTGTTACACCATTCTTCAATAAGACTTTTCTTCTTGAAGGGAAAGAGCTAGCTCTTGGCAGAGTTCTGTGCACTGTAGCTGATGCCAGCAGTCAAGGACCCATGGGAAGATGAGGCCTGGGTGACACCTTAGATTTCAAAGCAATGACTTATTTAATACATGCTTCTATCTTAAGGAGCTATTGGTATCATGTCAAAATGATATCTGTTAGTGGACTATACAGCACCCACCAGAGACAGTTTGGGTAGAAAAGAACAGAATCACAATTCCATCATGCAGGTCCAGTGACAAGTTTCTGCTAGTTCTGTTCATAAGTGGAAGGGAGGAAATTTTAGCAAATATCCATGTGGTTTGGGGCTTAAAAAAAAACACAGGGGAGAGAGATTTTGAGGATTATTTGATTACCATAAAAATTCTGGTAAATTAATTCTGGATCTGTCCACAAAGTCACAGTAAGTGACAGGCTGTTGGTGTTTGCTACAAGCAGTCTTATCAGCTTGTATCTAAGGGCAAGAATTCACAGAACACTGAAGCAGATAAGTGAAGGGTGTCTCACATGACACCCCTCTGCCTCTCACCTGCCATGCTTGGAAACCTGTGCTCTGAAGAGCACAGGGCTCCAGGCGTTGGGACTCTGTGTGAGTTTTAGTTCTGCTCATCTGCACTTTGGGGTCTCTGGTGGGTTTTTGGCTACACCAAAAGTATTTGAAAGTGCTTTGTAAACTGAGAAGCACCATATAAATGTCTGCTAAGATCATTTCCAAGGGGAAAAATGAGATAATGTGTTTGAAGGCTCTATGTAAACTATTAAGTGCTGTACACTTACAAGAGTGACATTATTATGATGATGAAGCCAAAGACCCACGGGGTCATCTAGATAAAGATGATGATGCTCATTTCCCACGAAGTCTCACCTGGGTCTCAAACTAAGCCAAATAAGGATAATCTTAGGAATGATGTCCTCCAATGAAAGAAACCCTGGGTTGGGATTCTGGTAATCCAGGTTCTGGGCACAGAGCTTTGCTTCAAATGGTTATATACCTTTGAGAAAGTCTGGAAGCCACATTTGATCAAGGAATTTCCCACTGAATTCTTAATAGGCACCCAACCCTAAGGTAGACGTCCTTACGATTGTATTTTGACTCTAACAGTTGAGAAACAAGCCAGTCTTTGTCATTGTCACTTTGTCACCCAGGATCCCATGGTCTCTAAGAACTGCTTAGAAAAAGAATACAAAGACCTGCAGGCAAGGAGCGTCCATCTGGGAAGGTAATGGGCTTGCTGAGCTCTCTGGAAATGGATGGGACTGGAGGGGCCAGTCGGAGTGACTCCTTGATGCACATTGTAGTGTATGACATCTCACCCAGCTGGTCCCTGTGAGGACAAGGAAGGAGGGTAGGGAACTCAGACTCCATATCCAGTTTATAAATATTGATGTTCTTTTCCTCTTTGGTGTTTATTCTTGGTAAATACCATCTCTAGGTCAAAGTTATTTTGCAGTTGGTTTATGTAACAGAATGTTGAGACTCTTTCTGCCTCAGGATCAGCTGAGGTTCCAGAGAAAGAGGGACCAAAAAAGTGCCAGATATCTTCATGATAAAGCAAGATGCTAATCTACCAGTAAAGGATTTGCTAGGGGAGTTTCTGAAACCAGTTTTGCAACACTTAGCTCAAGAATGTGTAAGGAATGACTAAGGACTAAAAAGAAGAGGCTGAAGAGTTTTGATAGGAAAAAAAAAAAAAAAAAACC